TGTCCTAATAGTTCATGTTCAGAGAAATTCGTGACTCTTGTGATCTCGTGATTTGTACAAATAATGCACTAACCAGATAGCGCAATCAAAGCGCATGGAGCAATTAAGACCCGCTCCTGGTGCTCTGGACTTGTAATATTAGGAGGATGTCATCTGTAGGTTTGGCCACCAGATGTCATCAATCCAGGTATATAGGTAAGTCATCATCCAGAAAGATCATCAGCGGGGGAGGGGGTGATCATGCATCATTCCCAGATGGACGGAACCTTCAAAAGCGGGCTCCCATATCATAGATGAGACCCAGAGAAGCCTCTGATAGTGTAGTATGTTTATTAAATAAAAACTTACACCAGATACAATAAAGGAAAAAACTTACATCAAAGTAAGGTCAGGCCACCAGGGTGTCAATCAGGATGGCTTTGTGGTATGTATACACAGGTCAAGGGCACCTCCCTAACGCGTTTCGTGTACAAAACACTCCCTCTGAGGAAGTGTTTTGTACACGAAACGCGTTAGAGAGGTGCCCTTGACCTGTGTATACATACCACAAAGCCATCCTGATTGACACCCTGGTGGCCTGACCTTACTTTGATGTAAGTTTTTTCCTTTATTGTATCTGGTGTAAGTTTTTATTTAATAAACATACTACACTATCAGAGGCTTCTCTGGGTCTCATCTATGATATGGGAGCCCGCTTTTGAAGGTTCCGTTTGGAATGATGCATGATCACCCCCTCCCCCGCTGATGATCTTTCTGGTTGATGACTTACCTATATACCTGGATTGATGACATCTGGTGGCCAAACCTACAGATGACATCCTCCTAATATTACAAGTCCAGAGCACCAGGAGCGGGTCTTAATTGCTCCATGCGCTTTGATTGCGCTATCTGGTTAGTGCATATTTGTACAAATCACGAGATCACAAGAGTCACGAATTTCTCTGAACATGAACTATTAGGACAATTGCACCTGTCACTTTATCGCACCATGCAATATGGACTGAATTTGTCATGCAGTTATGCTGCTCATGTTTCTGTTTGTTCATATTTAATTTCCTAAGCGCTGCATATTTATTTCTCATTATTCATCTGTAGTCAGAGCTGCACAGCGTGCTATTATCTACAGATGCCCCTTACCTGTATTAGCAGTTTTTTTGGTAAAGGTGAGCTGACACTTTAAACAGGACAGTAAACACTCACCATTCCTCAGCCTAGCACACTCCTTTCTTATGCTGGGATGTTGTCCCCTGAAGTATGGGGAGTGTTGGTAGTCCTCACAGCTCCTCCCTTTGCCGTCTTTGATATCATGTCACTGCCAGAGACAGTGGTGTTGTCATGTCATGAGAGCTGAGGAGGACCCAGGACATTGGCACTCCCAGAATTCTCTGTTTCTTAGCCTACTTCAGGGGCCAAGGTCACAGCATCAGAGAGGAGTTTGCGCAGCAAGAAAGGTCTTTTACAGGTTTACGCTTGCTGAGTATTTTCTGTTTAGCAACAGTCTGTAGATAAAAACACACTGTACAGCTTTGACCAAAATTTAATAATTTCCTTGTATAGGTGTAGGCCATTTATGTACTTCTGAAGCCTGACTGAAAAACTCCCAGAGGTGGCATTATCCCATCCTACCTTGTTACTAGGACATTGCTAAGAGACTCCCAGCTGTTACTGCCCACCATCAGAGAACCAAGCTCTCAAACGCTGAGCCCAGAGCTCCTGCATCAGGGGATAGAAAGCACATAAGAAAGGGTTTGAGAGTTCACTCCTGTGATGGTGAAGGTGAGCAGTAAGAACTAGGAGTCTCTTAGCAACGCCCTAGCAACAAGATTTTTCAGTCAGGCTTCAGGCGGTATGTAAATGGCCTACACTTATAACAAGGGCATTATTCAACTTTGGTCAAAGCTGTAGTTTGTTTTTATCTACATGTGTCCCATACCTGCGTAGGCCGTTTTGTTTTAAAGATGAACTATGCTTTTAATGTGATAAAATTCTTTCTTGCCTGAGATAGCTGACATGTAAATTAAATCTGTGTTTATAATAACTTTTCATAACCTCAGTGCACAATGTAAATCAGGCTGAATATGACAGTGATACGGACTAACTACATTTGGAGATGTAGGAAGTAGGTGTGTAAGGATTCCACCACTAACATGTTTCAGGCACTGGGAGAGGGTGGTGGTGTTAAGCCTATTATAGGGGAGAGCACAGAAAGAACAGTACCTGTGTCATGATACTCATGCTTAGCCCTAGTTGAAGGGTGGAGGAAGGAATGTGAGAATGGAAGCTGCAGGGCAGCAGGCTTTGAGTAGTGATTTCTCATGCTGGCTATACAATATGACTAAGATGTTTGAATCCCAGACATGACCAGACAGAATCCAATACATTGTCAAGTAAAGAAGATAATAATTGTAAAGTGATACTAAAGGCTGTTTTTTTTTTTTTTTAAAGAAAAAAAGTAAAAAAAGAGGTAATACCTGTTGTGTGATATTGCACAGAAAGGTCATATACCATCTCTTCCGGTAGTCCCCACCAGTGCTGTGTGCTGCTCCCTCCTCTGAATGGCACCTGTGCATGCACACTCCTGAGCCGGGCTGTCTGGTAAGGTACACCTCCACTCCCTCCACAGCAGATCCTCTGCACCTACAGGCTCCTCTGCATTGCTAGACCAGTCCCCACAGTCTTCTCCCCTGCACTCCTGCAGTTGGATTCCCTCTGACATCATCAAGATTATCACAGGACCCATAACCCTGCATTAGATGTGAGGATGCCAAGGGACAGTTCATTGCCAGAGTGTAGGGGAGTGCCATCAACAGGGGAGTGGAGGATCAGGTAAGTAAAAGTGCTTTTTCCATCCCCTAGACCAGGGTCTCCATACTTTCTAGACAAAGGGACAGTTTATTGTCCTGCAGATTTTAGGGGGGCTGGACTGTGGCCAGAGGGAGTAGAAATTCTCCTAGCATCAGTGGGGAAAAAATGGTCCCATATGGTATTAGGGGGAGGAATAGTGCCCCAACTTTGCTATCATTGGGAGGAATAATGCCCCATTTTAGTGTCAGCTGGCAGAATTGAATAATTCCTCCTAGAATTACTAGGAGGAATAGGGCCACAAAGGCCAGATAAAGGCAAGCAAAGGGCATGTGGCCCCTGGGCTGCGCTTTGGAGACCACTGCCCTAGACCTAAAGAAGCATTTGACCTCCTGTAGTGCAGACTGAGCCTCACTGCCAGAGAGGGTTTTTTGTTAATATTTTTTTTTCCGGAGTTTAAATAAGGTGCCATTGGTGGGCTGTGAGTCCCATTGTGCTTCAAGGTCCAGAGGAATCTCTCTACACCCCCTGATCATTCCTCTCAATACATTCCCATTGCACATGTTCCTAAAGAAGGCGTGCAGTAAGTGGATGCTGTTGCATCTGCCCCAGGTTGGTTGGTTTGAAATCACAGAAATAAATTAAGAATGGTTGTAAACACTTACTTATACCCAGTGAAGTGACTGGCCTCAGGTTATATACAGAGGTGAAACAAATCCTCTTACATAAGTTGTACCTGTCTATCTGCAACATGGTTGGACTGAGGCAATAGGGGATCATGGGGCCCCTGTGTCCTTGCCCACCCTCAAAGCACAACCAAAAATAGCCTATAAAAGGTACCAGGGACATTTCATGGGGCCCCCTACTGACCCCGGGCCCTTGGGCAGTGCCGAGTGCTTGAATGGTCAGTTCGCCCCTGATCTGCAGTATTCTCTATTCCACAGCCATTCAAAGTGCAGAATTTATACAGCTTCTATGAGAGTTCAGAAAAAAGGGGACAGAGAGCTGAAATTACACACTGCAGAGCTCAATGTGGAGAGCTCTGAGAGCTGATTGGAAGGAAGGGACACACCTCCTCCACACAGCTCACAGGAACAGAGCTGAGGCTGTCAATCACTTGGAGATCTTCCCCATCCCATTTTTTCTTAGTTTCAGGAAAACTTGTCAGAAGTGGTTCATACAGATGGCAGAGGAACGAATTGACACTTAGTACTCTTAATTGAGACAAGTACACACTATAGAGGGATATGCTTTGTTCATATTTTCATGTCTGGGATTTACAACCACTTTATTGTCGCCAGCAGACTATGGATCCATAGCACCTTGTCCAGTCGTTTTAATAAAGCAGTCACAATCAGAGGTAGATTTACTACAACTGGATCACTCAGAATCTGGTGCAAATATGCATGATAGCCAATCAGCTTCCAAAAGTCAGCTTGTTCAGTTAAGCTTTTTCATTAAAACCTGGAAGCCGATTGGTTTCTATGCAGAAGTGCACCAGATCTTGCACTTTACAGTTTTAGTAAATAAACCCCACAGTGTCAGTGCAACGTTTCCTGGCCATGTAGGGGACAGGCAAGTGCCTTCTGAATAGGTCCTGCACAGCCTTCGAAACTTTGCCTTGACACTGTGCTGTGATCCCATTTGGAAAGGTGCTCTGGACCCGAGATGTGCCGGTGACATATGTTCTTTTCTGTGCGTTGATCATTCCTCTGTCCCCAAGACCTGTATCCAACGAGAGCAGGATGAAACATTAGACCTTCAGATGTGACATGACACAGTGTGACAAGGCAGTCTGTGAATGTTTATGAAACGTATAAACATGTATCCCTGCAGATTTACTCCTACAGAGTTACCATTGTGCTACATTTCATAATATTGGTTGGCTTGATGTTAGACAGGACAGTATTACACTATGCTCCTTCACAAGGATTCCTAAAGTGTAACGTTAAGGAAAACCTCCGACAAATACAGTAAATAATAATACTCTGGGGTTCGCATATGTGCTCTTTACATTATTATTATATATATATTTTTAGTTCAGCTGATGTCATTACCTGAAATATAACTCATACTGAGCTGTCATGTATAGACTAAACCCACACAACAGTAAAATTAGTCTGTATATGCAGTAAAGCATGCTTGTTATACTCACTGTGGAACCTAAGGGGTTAATCCTCTGCATTGTATAAAAAGGCTGTTTAATCCTGACTTCTCTGCCCCTCCTCTTGTTCAGATGTCCACACTGATAAGACAGACTGAACCCGTAACCCTTCTGCACATGCTCAGTTTAGTGTGTATTGCTAGAGAGGTTTTTTTTATTTTTCTTGGGAGAGTGCATGTAATCAGCAAAGGACCAGTCAGCACTGTCCAGACAGAGGTCAGGGGTTCTGCATCCTAGAGCAGAAAGAAAACTCCTCCTACAAGCTTTAACCGGTGCTCAGCTGAAGTCACAAGATTGCTCTAACTACTGATGAGAAAAGGTATTTAGCAGTTTATATTTACAAAAATAATTGCATTTCCATGTTGTGTGTACTGTGGGAGACCAGATATAGGGAATGCAGGGTCCTGGGTTTAGTAACACTTTAAAGTTGAAATATGGCTGCTTTGTAAGCTGATGGGAGTGGTTGCTTTGGTGGGTTTACAGGAAGGAGAGAGAGTGCCGATTCTTCATCGTAGTCCAAGGATCATGCAGCAGGCAGGGCAGGTGACTGGGATCTGCACAGTTTCAGGTTTTATGAATAGTTACACCTTATGTTATGCACCCATATAGCACAGCAGGAGTGGAGTTGGTTCTTATCCACTTCAATACTGGGCACTTATACCCCCTTCCTGCCCAGGCCAATTTTCAGCTTTCAGTGCTGTTGCACTTTGAATGACAATTGTGCGGTCATGCAACACTGTACCCATATGAAATTTTTTATAATTTGTTTTCACACAAATAGAGCTTTCTTTTGGTGGTATTTAATCACCACTGAGTTTTTTATTTTTTGCTAAATAAAACAAAAAACACCTGAAACGTTTGAAAAAAAAATGCACTTTTTTCTTCTTTTCTGTTATAAAAATTTTGCAAATAAATAACATTTCTTCATAAATTTAGGTCAAAATGTATTCTGCTACATTTCTTTGGTGAAAATAATAATAATAATAATTAAATTTGTATTTTTTTTTCAAATGTTTCTATTATTTTTTTATTACTTTTTTTCTTTTTTTTACTATTTTATTTCTCAGCACACTGTGACCAAAGCAATACAATGTTACCATAGTAACATTGAACTACTCTGGGCAAGTGATCAGGATTTTTTTTTTTTTTTTTTTTACACATTATGATTGCTAATACCAATGTATTTTTTTGATATTTGCAATCATTGTTACTGAATTAAACAGGTTCATTCAGTCTTTTGTTGTGATTAGCTGTGATTGGGCAAAGCTGATCACATGATACAGATGGGCTGTGATTGGCCCTGTCTGTATCATGTGACTGCTTTGACCAATCACATCTAATAACACAATTGTGTACAATGAATGGCATGTCAGGAAGCCATCCATTGTATACAATTGACAAGTGATCTGCTGTGATTGGTCACAGCGGTCACATGACACTGGCAACGGGCCGGTGTTGTTATATGTCATTGGCTGTGTCCCGTGGACACAGCCAGTGACAGATCGTGGACTCAATCAGACCATCCATTGTTCTCCAAGGGCTCGTTCACACTTGACTTGATTTCTAACTCTTGCCAAACGCCCCTATAGCATTAGACAGGTGTTTGGGAAGCGTTTTTTAACACTCTTCAAATGCTCCCCAACCACCACCGTTTGGAGGCGGTTGATAGGCGTTTGCCAAGAATTAAAACCGCACCACAAATGCCTATAACTAACGCTCTGCAACCGCTTCGCAAACGCCTGCTAGGCGTTTGAGTATCGGCACCATAGACTTGAATGGGAGGCTTCAACTCCTCCTGACTAGACATGAGGCGTCAGTTTTGCCGCGACGCGACACTAATGCTTCAGTGTGAACAGCACTGTGTGCTGCCATGTGCAGAGTTTTCATAGGCGTTTGAGAAGCGTTTAAAAACGCTTCCCAAACGCCTGTCTGACGCCTGCTGACAAATCTACTGTGAACGTAGGTGGATGTAGACGGACATGTTTCCCTTTTACACCCGCTTGCTTCCGATCTGACCTAAAAACAGACGGATGTGGTAACCGTTCCCCATCCGCCTAGTGGATTGGATTGCAGTTGGATGTAAACAGACAGGTGTTCCGTTTACATTCATCCGTCCCATAGAGAAGAGCAGGCATGGATGACACGGAACTGTCATCTGCCCGCTCAGTGGGGATCAGCGGACAGATCCTCTGCTAACAATGATATACGGTGTCCCTTTTCTTAATATATATATATCCTAACGCATATCTCATATAAATGAATAGACTAATGAATCTCAATATTACACAGTGAAAATGATACACCCCCTGGTGCAAAATAATAAATAATAGTATACGGTGTCCCTTATCTTAATATATAAAGCCTAGTGCATGTGACACTAAAATCCCCCCAAAAAAACAATAAAAAAAGTAATGATCATATAAGAAAATCTGCTGATGAATATATTTGCTGATAAATCAATAATAAACAGTACTCTACGTGATCAAAAATACATCCCACAAAATAAGAAAAATGTCCTTCAAATCAAAGTCATTCATAAAGTTCAACAAAAATCTTCAAGTTGAAAACCAGCTTCCAAAGTGACTTCTGAGAACAAACCTCAAAAAGAAAAACTCACATAGTGTATTACCTTTGATAATATATATATATATTCACTCAAAACACATGTGAATTGCACACAAACACGCGTGATCACTACTAAAAAAGTGAGCAACTGTGTAAAAACGACCCTTAATGATCAATGATTAAGACCCTTTATGATTAAAGTCAAGTGACGAAAAGCGTCAAAGGGAAGTGATGTCAAGACGCACAGCTTAGCCGGAAGTGTCCGAGCGGCCATTTTGGATCCTGGAGATTGTGATCTTGGTTACAGGAGGAGTGTTCCTGAGGATCTCGGCTGCGTATGTACTTATGATGGCAATTTTAAAGACGATACCGTATTTTTCGCTCCATAAGACGCACCTGACCATAAGACGCACCTAGGTTTTAGAGGCAGAAAACAGGAAAAAAAAATTCTGAACTAATGGACTGCAGACATAGTACAAGGAGATGACCAGAGACTGCAGGACATAGTACAGGAGATGATCAGAGACTGCGGACATAGTACTGGAGATGATCAGAGACTGCGGACATAGTACAGGAGATGATCAGAGACTGCGGACACAGTACAGGAGATGATCAGAGACTGTGGACAGTACAGGGATGACCAGAGACTATGGACATAGTACAGGAGATGATCAGAGACTGTGGACAGTACAGGGATGACCAGAGACTGCGTACAGTACAGGAGATGACTGCTGACCTTTGGGGAGGGGGGGGAGCGGGTACCTGAATTTGACAGGTACCCGCTCTTACTTCCGTGGAGTTGTTCTTTGATCTTACCTGTTCCTCTATCCAGCCGCGCGCTGTCTACCCGGCTTCTGTAGTGTGGGTGCTCGGCGGACAGCCGGATGCCCAGTGCGCATGAGCGGGAAGCGCTGCGCTTTGTGATTGGTCCAGCGGCTTCTGGGATCTGTCATGTGTCCCAGGTACCGCCTTAGCATTCACAAAGAGCACCGCTTCTTGCGCATGTGCACTTGGCACCCAGCTGTAACGCACACTACAGAAGCCGGGAAGATAGCGCGCCGCTGGATAGAGGAACAGGTAAGGTCCCACTGCAGAGCTGAGCGGCCAGCCCGGTATTCTGACACGGCGGCGGTGGAAATATCGGATCGGCGGCTCCATATTCGCTCCATAAGACGCACTGACACTTTCCCCCCTTTTTTTGGGGGGAAAAAAGTGCGTCTTGTGGAGCGAAAAATACAGTATATATGTAAGCATATTAATAAAGTTATACCTTTACGCTTTTATACGGATTTACACTATCATTTATCCATATATATGGTGGGCATCGCTTGGAGACTGGTGTGGAGAGAGGAGTATCTATCTGTAACTGTGAAGATTCCTTTGGTGGAGCTTATCACATGCCATTACCTTACCTGGATGATTACAGGCTTGTGATTTTTGATGCCTTGGTAAGGGTATATTATCTGCACATTTAGAAGTGGACACGTTTTTCACAAGATTTTCACTTTTCTGTCACAAGATTTTTCACGGACACGTTTTTACACAGTTGCTCACTTTTTTAGTAGTGATCATGTGTGTTTGTGTGCAATTCACATGTGTTTTGAGTGAATATATATATATTATCAAAGGTAATACACTATGTGAGTTTTTCTTTTTGAGGTTTGTTCTCGGAAGTCACTTTGGAAGCTGGTTTTCAACTTGAAGATTTTTGTTGAACTTTATGAATGACTTTGATTTGAAGGACATTTTTTCTTATTTTGTGGGATGTATTTTTGATCATGTAGAGTACTGTTTATTATTGATTTAATCAGCATATATATTCATCAGCAGATTTTCTTATATGATCATTACGTATTTTTTTTTTGGGGGGGATTTTAGTGTCACATGCGTTAGGCTTTATATATTAAGATCCTCTGCTAAGCTGGCAGATCCGTTTGGCTAGAGTTGGCATCATCCCCTCCTGCCTTGTTACTAGGACATTGCTAAGACACTCCCAGCTGTTACTGTTCATCTTCACCATCACAGACGTGAGCTCTTTCTCGGATTCAGACCCCCTCACATGCACTTTCTCTCCCCTGGTGCAGTAGCTCTGAGCTCAGCATATGAGAGCTCACTTCTGTGATGGTGGAGGTGAACAGTAATAGTTGGGAGTGTCTTAGCAACATCCTAGCAACAAAGCAGGACAGGGAGGATGTCATCACAGAGAATTTTTCAGTCAGGCTTCGGGAGATACAGTATGTAAAAAAGGTATAGATTTCAGGAGGGGCTGGGGATCTGACATTGAAAGGTTTTTTTTTTTTTGCAGAAAATGCATTGAGGTAAAAATACTTCTACCTATAGAACCACTTTAACCTTGGTAACATTTGTTTTTAAAGCAGATTATAAAATAATATGGTGCAGTGCTACCCCAAATAATGCCGTACTTGCACACTAGCTTTCCCAAAATACCAGATATAATAAATAAAAATTACACAAAACGGTTAAAAAATCCAAAATAGCTCATATCAAACTTAACTTATATGTGACTAATCATTACCCTTCAGTGTATTAAGTGAATAAATAAACCACTCACTCACAGATCATGAAGTGAACTGATCCACTAAGGGATCCATAGTGAGACGGGAAAGTGAATAAATACTATAAACATAAAGAAACATCAATCAGTGATCACATGAATAGTAGTAAGCAAGATATCACTTCTGACATCATTGCTTACTACGTGTGAAATCTGTGAATGATCACAGAGGTCACATGGTACAAGGCTATTCACAACAGCCTTGTACCATGTGACAAGCTGTGACCAATCACAGCTCACACAGTATTTCTCAATGGCTGCAAGAATGCAGTCAGAGAGAAGGAGAAATGATTGCTTTTACAGCCTTTATGGGTGCAAAAGCAATCAGTGTACAAAAAAAAAAATCTTCACAATATTCACAACAGCCTTGTACCATGTGACGAGCTGTGACCAATCACAGCTCACACAGTATTTCTCAATGGCTGCAAGAATGCAGTCAGAGAGAAGGAGAAATTATTGCTTTTACAGCCTTTATGGGTGTAAAAGCAATCAGTGTACAAAAAAAAAAAAAAATCTTCATCACCCCCCACAAGTAGCACAGTGTATATGTTGACACTGTACTGCTAGGGTGACTATGTTTAAAAAAAAAACATGAATAATATAAAAAAAGTAAAAAATTTTTTAGAAAAATTATAATTTTTGGTTATAAACTAATTTGGGTTATTTATTTTTTTTACCTAATTTGGGTTTTTTTTTTTTTATTACTACAAAGATATCTGAATACATTTTGCGTTGCTGCATGGAAGAGGGGGAGGGCATTCATGGAGTGGTTAAAATTTCACTTTAAGCATTTAGTTTTCCTCAATAGAAAGCTATTTACTAGGAGATGGTTGTGAGGGTCAAATCAGGAATTTGCAGATGCTCCCATTGTTAACGCATGACCATGCTCCAAAGATGTTTGTGTTCTTTTTTTCTGACTGTTCAGCAACAACACATCGCTCAAATGTTAATGAGGACAATATAATAACACGGAAATCTGAGTGTTGCATTGATTTACTTCCGGAAATGTGCTTCAGATCACTAAGGTGCTCAGAGGAATTAATGACTGTGTACCTCTGCTGTATAGCAAGTCAAGTGCTTTTAGTTTCTCAGAGTCCCACTGTTCCCGCTGTTTTTTATCCCTTGCCAGATCATTGTTGCAGGTATGATACTCAGCAGTGGTCATCGTGTCATGTCCCTATCTCAGTCTGCGCTTGTCCATTTACCAAAAGCAGTCGTGTTGCTGTAGCCTTTTGTTTAATGAATGACCAACCTGGAGTGGGGACACGACACAAGCACTGGTGTCCATCATACCGGTAATGCTGATGGTGGTCGGTGGAGAAAATACCGCAGGAATTTACTGATCTTTTTTAAGCTATTAAAGAATATATAAACCCAACATTTCCTATTCCTGATATGTGTTTTCTGTACCATGTACTTGTTTGAAAAATTATCCTCTTCTCTTTGTATTTCTTCCTTTGTGTGAAATCCCTGATGTTCCTGACAAGACCCATTGCTTTCCTATTAAAAACTGACTACACTAAGCATGCAAGCACAGTGTGATCAGTTCTCTAGCTGTGCTGGGAACTCAGCCTGCTCTCCTCTAATGATCAGATATGTACGGAGACAAGACCCCCCCCCCCCCTTCTCTTGCACAGCCATTCACTGGGAAGCTCAGTGTCCTACTGTTTCTCCTCCCCCAGCACTCTATGCATCTGAGAACAGAGAGTATGTGATCTCTGTTATAATATAAAAAAAGATATGTATAATGTTTTTTTTCTGTCTATTCACAAATCGTTTGCCTTTCATTTCTATTTGAAACTGAATGGGTTGTTTTACAAGGTCAGGGGTTACAAATACTTTAAAGTACTGCCAGAGTTCTGCTTTATGCTAATATGTTTGCTAGGTATAAATGTCTAATTAATACTGAAATATACTGATGTTTGATGAGACTAAATTAATCTAATTAGCAAAAATAAACTAGAGTGTCTTTGACCTTGTGTCTGTGTGTGTGGATCTGTATGGACAGTATTTAATCATGGGAGCAACACTTGGACAGTAGTAGTTATAGTGACATCTAGGGACTATAAAAGGGTACTGCCTACTCGGCTAAAGGAAACCTTGTAATAGCCAGATTAAGATTCATGCGTTTACATCACAAGGATTATTTTTTTTTCTGTTTTTAACATTGCTTTGTATATGCTAATGCTCAACTGTTAAAAAAAGCAGTATAAATTGTATTAAGCTAAATTAGGGATCAGAAATAAATCAGTTTATTTATTTAAAATTTCAGATAGATCCACAAAAGATCAGGTTATATAAAAATATATCCAACTCCTTTTATAATGCATTAGGTTCACATCTGTGCGGGTGGTGCTGCTGCGGGACCCGCATGAATACCTGCAGCTGCACCACCCACACAGAGGAATGTGGGACCCGCAGACGGGTGCCATTAATTCTAGTGGCACACCACCCGCACTGGAAATCGTGACTGTACTGGGAGCCTCGGTTCCCGTGCGGGCTGCAGTTTCCCAAGTAATGCAGGGACTTCTTCCCTGTGTGTCCCGGGGCACGGGAGTCCATTCAAATGAATGGGCTCTCGTGCCCGTGCAAATCGCGGCCCGCATGTCAGTATATATGTGAACCTGGCCTTGGGCTTGGTTCACATCTATATGAGTGGTGCTGCTGCGGGACCCACACAAATACCTGCAGCCACACCACCCACACAGAAGAATGCTGGACCCGCAGGCGGTTGCCATTAATTCTAAGTGCAGGGACTTCTTTCCTGCATGTCCTTTCAAATGATTGGGATCTCGTGCCCACGCAAATCGCATCCTGCACGGTCGCACATTTGTGAACCTGGCATTATACTCTTCATCCCTGTAATATGACACATTTAACAGTACTTTATAGAGGCCATTTAATCATTCACCTCAATTGATTTTAATAAAGTGATATAGCTGTAGATATGGTCAGACGTAAACACTAATGCAGGCCATAGACGGGTGAAAACCAGCTGTTTTTTAAAAAAAAAAAAAAAAAAGAAAAAAATCGGTTGTTCAATAGGCCAACGTTACCACCAATGGTAAAAAAAATTGGCTGATTTTCGTCCCGTATATGGCCAGCATTTAATTACTTCTGTTCCTTGCAGAGAGCTCCGCTATTATATTTGACATGAAAAAGTATTGCGGTTGCAACAATGTATCCATTTTGGATACAGATGGTTTTATTCGGATACAAATAGATACATTGTTGCAACCGCAATACTTTTTCCTGTCAAATATAATAGCGGACTGCCCATCATTGCCTGGAAAATCGGCCGATCTGCAAAATCGGCCGATTTTTTTTTCCAACTTTACCGATAAAAAAAATGTGCCAAAACCCCAAAAAATGGCCGACCAATTAAACTTCTAACGGTGCGAAAATCGGCTGAAAAAATCCTGATTTTCGACCTGTCTATGGTCTGCATAAGGGGCATATTTATAAAACAGTAACTGTGACTTTCACCAAACACTTCCCAATCAATGTAACTGAAAACACATGCACCATGAACATTCACATGCAGTGAATGTTTTTTGAATGTCAGGTTCACTGCTTTACTCCCCTAAAGTAGAACTATAGGCAAAACTTTTGTTTTAATTTTGGATAGAGTAAGAGAGGGTTATAACCCCTGCTGGTTCTTTTCTGCCATCTGTGTCCCATTAGGGGGATTTCTCTTCACTTCCTGTCCCATAGCCAAAACAAGAAGTGAGGGAATCCTTGGTTGTCACCAGGGTCACCAGAACTACTAGAAGGTTTCTTTTACTTTTCAGGGGACAACCCAAAATTTTGGATTTTTCCTTTACTTCAATGATAATGGTAAATAAGACAAATAGAGAAGATGGAATTTCCTAACAGGGCAAAGACAACAATAAAAACTAACAGATTTTCTAATCCATCTCTATTGTGTCCAAAACTAAAAAAAAAAAGAACAGTGTAGATACTGTAGGATCCAGTTGACTCATCAATATGTTTTAGGTTGTAGGTGCATACAGTATCAGGGGAAATTTCAAAAACATATAGCGAGATCATACAAACTATGGATTGTGCCTCTGTGGAAGTTGCAAACCAGCACACCAGCTTTGCATAGTCACAGTGCTACACAAATATACTATCTCATTGCCCTGCATTTTATTAGCAGATTTGGTAACACTGAGAAAGGTGGAAATAGTTTAAAGTGGTTGTGATTCTCAGACATGAAATATGAAAAAAAAAATATGCCTCTATAGTGTGTACTTGTCTCAATCCAGAGCATTGAGTGTCATTTCTGCCTGCTGCTTCATTCCTATGCTATCAGCACAAATCTTCTGACATGTTTTCCTGACACCAAGTGCAAAATGGTGATAGAGGAGGGATCTCCAACAATTTGACATCTTCAGCTCTGTTCCTGTGAGCTGTGTAAAGGAGGGTGTGTGTCTCTTCCCTCCAATCATCTTTCAGAGCTCTCTTCACTGAGCTCTGCCGTGTGTAATTTCAGCTCTCCTCGCCCCTTTTTTCTAAACTCTCAGAAAGGCTTTATAAATTCATCACTTTGAACAGATGTAGATTAGACTGCAGATAGACAGGTATGACCAGGGGCGGACTGACCATTTGGAAACTCGGGCACTGCCCGAGGGCCCGGGGTCAGTAGGGGCCCCATGAGATGCCCCTACTACCTTTTTCATAGGATTTTTTGAGTTTGTGCAAGGACACAGGGGCCCCATGATCCCCTATTGCCCGGGGGCCCCATGAGTTGTCAGTCCACCCCTGGGTATGACTTATATAGGACAATTTGTTTAATCTCTGTATATCATCTGGGGCTATTCACTTCACTTCATATATATAAAAGGGTTTACAACCACGTTAAGACCTCATTCACATTTGGAAATAGCAGATTTCTGGGGCTGATATCACTGGTGGTTGTGTATAGCTGTGGCTGGGAAGTCTGTACAAGCAATAACAGGCTGATAAGAGCCGCTGCTATTCGCACATCCAGTGGTTTCCTGCAGTAAGGGACAGAAGACCAGTCCTGGCCACAAAGGGGTTTATTTACTAAAGCTGGAGAGTACAAAGTCAGGCTCACGTCTCCATAGAAACCAATCAGCTTCCAGGTTTCATTGCCAAGCTTAATTGAACAAGCTGAGGTTAGAAGCTGATTGGTTTCTATGCAGACGTGAGCCTGACTTTGTACTCTCCAGGTTTAGTAAATAAACCCCAAAATGTCAACATCCAGGGCCAATCATCTGTGCCCAACCACAGGTTGGATGGATGGATGTGCAAATATCCACGAACAGCACCGGACAGCCGTGACCGCTGTGATCCTGTCATTGCTTACTACAGGTTTCCAGGCCAGAGCTGTCTGTAACTACCTGTGAATGCAGTTTCAGAAATCTGCAGATGACCCTGTTTGCAAGTGTGAGGCAAACTCCTTTATTGTACAAGCACCCCCTCTCCCCTTTTTTAAGGGGTCCTACGTGGCCCCCTGGAACCTACAGTCTAGTGTTGGTCACCCTTTTCCCTTTTTATACTTAAAACTTCTCTTGGCTTCTGTTTTCCGGCAGTTACTTTTGTTTCTTGTAGTGATGATCCTTATCATATCAATGTATTGGAAGATGTATTTGAGAAAAAGGGAGTTAATTTTACATCATGTTGTCTGCTGGGTCAGGGAAAAGATTATGACAGGTACTCAGCAAAGCTGTGATTTCAGCCAGGGTGGGCATGTTTATTACCACCTGCTGGTACTCTAAGATCTTTTAGTCTATGGCCACCTTTTGATCTCTGAGCCATCAAGGCTTCTCTGCAGTGTAATCATTTGAAGAGGGTCATTTGATCATTTGGCGATCAAAGAAATAAATTAAGATTGCACGGCTACCAGCGGGTGAGTGGTGAAATTGGACAAAAGGGTCCAGGATGAAAATCAGGCCCCTAAAGTGATGGACCAACCCAAAGAAAAAAATATCTTTGCTTACCTAGAAGAGGCACGGTCACTGATGTACACATTATATTTTTAACAAATTAAAGTGGTTGTAAAGGCAGAAGGTTTTTTAATTTTTTTACCTTACTGCATTTTATGCATGAAGGTAAAAAAAACTTTGGTATGCACCCCTCCCCCCAATTTTTACATGAGCCCCATCTTGATCAAGCGATGTGCACGAGAGTGGAGGCTCTTCCGGCTCTCTGCCTCCTCATTGGCTCAGATCTCCTAGATTGTAAGCTCCAAGGAGCAGGGCCCTCCTATCCCTCTTGTATTGAATGTATTGTTGCTGTATTGTCTCCCTTTATATTGTAAAGCTCTGAGCAAACTGTTGGCGCTATATAAATCCTGTATAATAATAATACAGCAGCGAGAGCCTTTGGCTCCTGCTCATGTCAGTCACATCCAGCGAGAAGGTAGTAGGGGCGAGGCTGAGCCCCGATTGTGTGTCTTATGGACACATAGAGGTGGCTCAGGGGTGAGCACACACGAGTGCCCCCAGAGCAAACAGCTTGCTGTAGCCAGGAGCGGGGACCCGTGAAGAAGAGGACCGGGGCTGCTCTGTGCAAAACCATTACACAGAGCAGGTAAGTATGATATATTTAATATTTTAACAACAACAAAAAATTAACCTTTAATATCACTGAGCCTGGGTTCACACTGATGCAATGCGGCACATCGCATGTGATTCGCACATGAACCGCACCACAATTCTGTGCAAATCACTTGTGATTTATATGTGGTGCAATTTGAGCCATACATTTTGTATGACTCAAATTGAAACCGTATCCGTACCAAAAAAGTGCAGGACCCTTTTTTTTGTCCGCACCAGAAATGGATCGAATTGGTGTTCACACACATGCAATCTGTTTCTGCACATCACACCGTGTTTTGCGAACTGATTTTGTGGTGTCGTTGACTTAAAATACACACCCGCAGCAGTTCGTGTGAACGGGGTGCGTTTATGATGCGGTGTGGAAATCGCACAGAAACTGGTATGAATTCCGCACCGCATCAGTGTGAACCCAGGCTTGAAGTGGAAGTAAAGTCTTTTTTAACTTGTACCTACCAGGTCAGTCTATAATAAGTCTTCCCTGCAGGTGAATGCAGTGAATATCCTGTTAAAATGGCACTCTTTAGGAGATATTCACACTGCACGCAGCCGGTGACATTCATAGGCGCATGCACCCTGAATGGATGGCATATCCGTCCCGTCTCTTCAGAGCTCTGTGCCACTGCTGAAACCCCCGTTCACAGCGCTCCGTTGGAGGCAGGGGCGGACTGACAACTCATGGGGCCCCCAGGCAATAGGGGATCATGGGGCCCCTGTGTCCTTGCCCAAACTCAAAAAAGCCTATGAAAAAGGTACCAGGGGCATCTCATGGGGCCCCCTACTGACCCCGGGCCCTCGTGCAGTGCCTGAGTTTCCAAATGGTCAGTCTGCCCCTGGTTGGAGGGCTTCGTTCTAAGGTAAGCATTTCATAATCTGCTAGTATGAGATGTGTGCTAGCACATTATGTCATTGTCTTGAAGATTTTTTTTTCTTCTTTTTTTTTAAACACCCTGCCGCGTTAAGGGTTAATTGATCAGATTTTCTTTGTAATTCTGCATTGAGAAAAGAAGAGCCCTGAAATATTTCCATTTGGATATAGCTGCAATAAATCGACAGTGAGAGTTTCCAGCCTCAGCATGTTACTGCGATGGGAAATAGGAAGTTGAATGGAGGCCAAGAGATGTTCATTGTTCTGTCACAGCATTCACTGGGCTGCCAAAACAAACCCTGAAGGCAGACACAGAGTGGACCTTGATTTGGAATCTTGTTTGAAGGACCACAAGAAAACCTTGAACAGAGTCCAGAAAGCAGGATTTGTGTGTGAAATGATGACTGTGCAAATTAAAAATAGACCATCAGTGAGGCAGATAGATCGCAGAGTGAGGTCAGTGTAACTGGACAGAAATTATTACCATATTTACTAATGCCGACCATACATGGGTCGAAATTCAACCGATTTTTCGTCCAAAAATCGTACCTAAGAATAATCGGCCGATTTTCACTTTGTTAGTGGGTCAATGGCACTGGCCGATGTTCGTGGTTCCTCCCCTTTTTGGTGATCGGGCATGTTGTTTTTGAAAAATGACCAATTTTGACTCGATGGTTAAATCGTACAATCGTTTTTCTGAAAAGAATATGCATATGAGCCGTGACCTGGAAGGAACAGAAGTTTTGCCTGTTATATGGGGTGAACTTATTATTTATTATTTATTTCAGGTACTTATATAGCGCCGTCAATTTACACAGCGCTTTACATATATATTGTACATTCACATCAGTCCCTAACCCTCAAGGGGTGTACAATCTAAGGTCCCTAACTTACATTCACATACTAGGGCCAATTTAGACAAGAACCAATTCACCTACCAGCATGTCTTTGAAGTGTGGGAGGAAACCGGAGTACCCGGAGGAAACCCGCACAGGGAGAACATGCAAACTCCAAGCAGGTGGTACTGTGTCTGGGATTAGAACCAGCGACCCGAGTACTGCCAGGCGGAAGTGCTAACCATTTAGCCACTGTGCTGCCCACTTTATGACTTGGTTGACCGATTTTCGATGGCACCATCGGATTACCGTGCGAACAACGTTTTCGATTTTCAGACAAAAAATTGTTTGCAATTCGACCCATGTATGGCCTGCATAAGTCTGCTTACTGACATATGTTACAACAATTAGGGCTCATGTACACTGCAGCTGATAAACTCACGTTCAGGAGCTGTTCTGCTTTTTTTCAGCAGCCCCTGAACTCTCCCTGATGTTTTCCTATGTGTCCATGTACACTATGTCATTTACAGGCAGTTGAGTTTACAGTCGTTTTTTTGAACGCACCAAACTTGCGTTCAGGAGTAGATTTTACTGGCGGTTAACCGCGCTTAGAAGCGTTTGCGTTTAGAAGCGTTTTTTTAACTGTTCCATGTCCAGATGCTGTCCAGAGCTTTTTTTTCATCATCAGAAATGCATGCAAAGCGTTCTCCATGTATTCAAATGCACCCAGTACACCAGCGCAGTCAGTTCCAGGTTTTGCGTGAAGAAAAAAATGGTAGAACGTGCCGCATTATGCTAATGATGGGATCCATAGTGAATACAACCAGAAAAGACAGGTCATCTCAACACATACTGCTCTCTCTGCTTCTGCTCTCTCTATTCCTCTCACAATGTCTGAAATAGTTAATTTTTTACTATTTTTCAGTGCATTCTGGGCATTTGGGAAGGTCTCCTGAGGTTATCTTTTAAAAATGCTTCTAAACGCAAACACTCATAAACGCGGCTAAACAGACGTTTTTTAATCTACGTTTTTCAGCAGTTTCCATCGTTCAGAAGTGTCCCTTGTACATGAGCCCTAAGATGATGTATGTATATTGAAATTGTTTCTGTCTAAGGCCCCATGTACACGGGACACTTCAGAACGATGGAAACTGCTGAAAAACGTAGATTAAAAAACCATCTGTTTAGCTGCGTTTGCATACCGCGTTTATGAGCGTTTGCGTTTAGAAGCTCCTGAACGTGAATTTATCAGCTGCAGTGTACATGAGCCCTAATACAGCTAACCAGATTCTTCTGTGCTGTTTGGGGAATAGTCACTATGGATGGATTCATTCTTTGGATACTTTTTTTCTTTATTTGTAAGCACAAAGTCCACATTGTGAGGATGGAATTACCTCATTTGTTGTGTCCTCATACTGTGCAAATGGTAGGCAGCCTAACTGGACTCTATGGGAGAGATTTACTAAGACTGGAGCACTCAGAATCTGGTTCAGCTGTGCATGGTAGCCAATCAGCGTCTAATTTCAGCTTGTTCAATTAAACTTTGACAATAAAACCTGGATGCTGATTGGTTTCTCTGCAGAACTGCACCAGATTTAGCACTCTCCACTTTTAGTAAATAACCCCGCCTGACTCTGTAAATGGTAGCTGCCTACTTGTTATGCTGACCTGTCTGTCCTAAAAGAGTATGTTCAGCCAAAACCCCAAACTTTTGTATTCTTAGTTTTGTATCAATTAGTGAAGTGTTGGAACCCCTGTCAGGTTTTTACTCATATCCAGAACACAGAGAGAATTACCCTCACTTCCTATCCGGCTAAAGTTTTACTATACAGAAAGTGAAGGGAAGTCTCCAACAGCAACAAAGACATGCCCTTCTCTATAATCTTCAGATGCCCAACGCAACACTCCAGCTTTCCATTGTACTAACACTAGTTGAATTGTGCAAGCTAGAACCTTTTTTTCTTTTTTCTTTTTATATCTGGTGTGGATTGTGTACTAGGTTGTTGGATTGCAAAACTGAAAAAAAAAAAAAATAAAATAAAAGTTTCGTTTTTTGTATGTGTTGCTGTTGGAGAATTTCCTTTACTTCCTGTCTTATGAAACTGTTGTCAGCCAGACAGGAAATGAGGGTAAATCTCTCTAACAGAGCCAAGGATAACAATAAACACCCAACAGGTCTTATCAAAACTAGAAACAGTTTTGGCTTGATTTACACCCCGGTCAAATCAAGCCCGGCTTTGAAATCGTGTGACTTACAGTGAAGTCTCACAATTTAGAGTCGGGGAACATGCCGATTTCAGGTGTGATTTGTAAGACACCTGACAGAGATGTCTATGCGAATTGCACCAAAAGTAGTGCATGTAATACTTTAGAAATCAGTGCGGCTCCGACCAAGTCGGAACCGCACCAATATGACCGCTGTCATTGTGGACAATAGGGTGCGACTTGGCATGCGATTTGCGAGTCACATGACATGTCGCACCCAGTGTATATGTAAAAGGGACTCTTATTATAAAAAAACCCCAAATATCCAACGTTAAAGTGGCTGTAAACCTTTAGCGATACCTACTGAAGTGACTGGCCTCAGGTGATACACACAGAGATGAAACAAATCCTCCTACATAAGTTGTACCTGTCTATCTGCAGTATTCTCTTCTCTACATCTGTTCAAATCCAGAATTTTTACAGCTTTTCTGGGCTGTCAGAAAAAGGGGCGGAGAGCTGAAATTACACACTGCAAGGCTCAGTGAGAAGAATTCTGAGAGCTGATTGTAGGGAAAAACACACCCACCTCCCCACAGCTCACAGGAACAGAACTGAGGCTGTTAATCTGCTGGAGGTCCCTCCCCTGTCACCATTTTTCTCTTGGTGTCTGAAAAATGTGTCATACGTGACATGCTGGTAGCAGGTGAACGAAGCAGCAGACAGAAATGACACTTAGTGCTCTTTTTTGAGAAAGTACACAGTATAGAAGAATATTCTTTGTTCATATTTCATGTCTGTGGTTTACAACCACCTTAAAGCGGGGTTCTACCCAAAAGGGGAAGTTCTGCTTTAAAGATTGGTCCCCCGCTCCCCAATAAGGATTGGCACCTTTGGGGAGCGGGGGGTGGGGAGTGGGTACCCGATTTTGACAGGAACCTGCTCCCACTTCTGCTGCGATCGCCTAGGCCTCCTGCCCTCCCTCCCCGTAGTCTTGTGGGACACCTGACAGGTCCCAGAAGACTACAGGGCCAGCACTACTCGTGCAAGCTGCCCACACTGAAGATACCGATGCCTGGAATACAGGACGGCTGGTGAAACGGGCTACGGCGGGGGCAACGCGGAATCATGGAACAGGTAAGTGGCTGTTTTTTAAAAGTCAGCAGCTACAGTTTTTGTAGCTGCTGACTTTTATTTTTTTACAGAGTGAGTAGAACTCTGCTTTAACCTCCCTGGCGGTATTCCCGAGTGTAGCTCGGGGTAAAATTTCAGTACCACAAGCGGTAACCCCGAGCTAAGCTCGGGCTTACCATGCGGTGTTGCTCAGGGAGTCCCTGCAGCGCTTACCTTGTCCTTCGCGCCCGCGATGTGTCCCCTGCAGCGTCCCCGGCCATCTCCTCTGGCCGATGTCGGCATCCGGCTTCCGTGTTCCGGTCCCTGTGATGTCGGGACGTATGGGCGCCGGAACCGGCGGCAAATTTGAAATTTTTAATAAATTTCATTTTTTTTAAAAATGATTATTATATAGTAAAACATTGCTGTTTCAACCCATTTCACATACATTTTGTCCCTACTGCTTTGTCCTGTGCCCTGCCTACATTTTGACTGTTCTTTCTGCCTGGAAACTTAGAAAAGTCCATGGCGTCCAAAAAGCGTCCCTTTATGTCAAAAGCGGTTTTAGACCGGCTAGAGAACAGCGATAGTAAATCAGAACCACTTGCAGAATTGAGTGATAATGATTTGTGGGGAAATTCGTCATCAGACACTGAAAACGATTTTGCGACTTTGCTCAGCGATGTGCGAATTTGCTTCTGTATTTAAAATTTCAGTGTTTTTGGTTTGATTACATTATTGAATTAAATTTATTATTATTATATTATTATTTTTATGATTATTAAATTATAATTTATGATTTTGTGTTTCAAGTTTTATCATATCCGGAATGTTTACTAGACTCTTGTTCGGACAGATTTCAGTGAGTTATTCCTAAATTACAGGCCTAGATTAAAAAAACTACATATTTCCATGCAAAAAAATGGTACCGCTTTCAGCACCAAAAATCGGAAATAATCATACCGCCAGGGAGGTTAACATTTCTAGCAGATTGAAGGGGCAGGCATCCAGCTTTCCAGCTCTGATTTTCTTTTTCTGCACACCCTTGGGCCAGTAAGTCATAAAGTATTTTAGTATAAGGAGTGCCATAGCCAGAGGACTAGCATTATCAGAAGCAGTTCAGCAATGGAACTTTCCATATTTGACTAAATAAAGCTTTACTTTAGCGAGACGTTCCAGTTTGAGGAATATATTTCAGTATTTAGTGGATGGCTGCTTGCTGCCCATTAGTTTGTCTCGGCTCTTTTGGAGACTCTGGTAGGAAGATCCCAGCTCCTAGAGATCCCATCTCAGTCTATGTGCAGTGGCTAGATACAATAGAGGGGAACTCCCCCGATTGGCAGATAGTAGCAGGTACTGCTTAGAAATCAGGGAGATTTGCAAAGAGTTGTGCAGGGTACATACCAGCAAAATATCTGTGAAATCCTGATTGTGAATAGGCAAATGGGCAGCACAGTGGCTAAATGGTTAGCACTTCCGCCTGGCAGTATTAGAGTTGTTGGTTTGAATCCCAACCATGGCACCACCGGCCTGGAGTTTGCATGTTCTCCCTGTGCCTGCGTGGGTTTCCTCGGGGTACTCCGGTTTCCTCCCACACTCCAAAGACATGCTGGAAGGTTAATTGGATCCTGTCTAAATTGGCCCTAGTATGTGTATGTATGAATGTAAGTTAGGGACCTTAGATTGTACACCCCTTGAGGGTTAGGGACTGATGTGAATGCACAATATATGCAGGTGAAAAATTAGAATATCGTGCAAAAGTTCATTTATTTCAGTAATGCAACTTAAAAGGTGAAACTAATATATGAGATAGACTCATTACATGCAAAGCAAGATAGTTCAAGCCGTGATTTGACATAATTGTGATGATTATGGCTTAAAGCTCATGAAAACCCCAAATCCACAATCTCAGAAAATTAGAATATTACATGCAATCAATAAAACAAGGATTGTACATAGAACAATATCGGACCTCTGCAAAGTATAAGCATGCATATGTACTCAGTACTTGGTTTGGGCCCCTTTTGCAGCAATTACTGCCTCAATGCGGCGTGGCATGGAAGCTATCAGCCTGTGGCACTGTTGAGGTGTTATGGAAGACCAGAATGCTTCAATAGCTGTCTTCTGCTCTTCTGCATTGTTCAGTCTCATGTCTCTCATCTTTCTCCTGGCAATGCCCCATAGATTCTCTATGGGGTTCAGGTCAGGCGAGTTTGCTGGCCAATCAAGCACAGTAATCCCACAGTCATTGAACCAGGTTTTGGTGCTTTTGGCAGTGTGGGCAGGTGCCAAGTCCTGCTGGAAAATGAAGTCAGCATCCCCATAAAGCTCATCTGCGGAAGGAAGCATGAAGTGCTCCAAAATCTCCTGGTAGACGGCTGCGCTGACCCTGGACTTAATGAAGCACAGTGGACCAACACCAGCAGATGACATGGCTCCCCAAATCAACACAGACTATGGAAACTTCACACTGGACTTCAAGCATCTTGCGGTGTGTGCCTCTCCATTCTTCCTCCATACTCTGGGTCCTTGGTTTCCAAATGAGATGCAAAAGTTGTTCTCATCAAAAAAGAGGACTTTGGGCCACTGAGCAACAGACCAGGTCTGTTTTTCTTTAGCCCAGGTAAGACGCTTCTGACGTTGTTTGTTGTTCAGGAGCGGCTTGACAAGAGGAATACAACATTTGAAGCCCATGTCCAGTATCCGTCTGTGTGTGGTGGCTCTTGATGCACTGACTCCAGCCTCAGTCCACTCCTTGTGAAAGTCCCCAACACTTTTGAATGGCCTTTTCTTGACAATCCTTTCCAGGCTGCCGTCATCCCTGCTGCTTGTGCACCTTTTTCTTCCACACTTTTCTCTTCCACATAACTTTCTATTAATGTGCTTTGATACAGCACTTTGGGAACATCCAACTTATTTTGCAATTACCTTTTGAGGCTTTCCCTCCTTATGGAAGGTGTCAATGATGGTTTTCTGCACAACTGTCAGGTCAGCAGTCTTTCCCATGATTGTGATTCCTACTGAACCAGACTGAGAGACCATTTAAAGGCTCAGGAACCCTTTGCAGGTGTTATGGCTTAATTAGCTGATTAGAGTGGGACACTTTGAGCCTAGAATATTGCACCTTTTCACAATATTCTAATTTTCTGAGATTGTGGATTTGGGGTTTTCATGATCTGTAAGCCATAATCATCACAATTATGACAAATCACTGCTTGAACTATCTTGCTTTGCATGTAATGAGTCTATCTCATATATTAGTTTCACCTTTTAAGTTCCATTACTGAAATAAATGAACTTTTGCACGATATTCTAATTTTTCGAGTTTCACCTGTAAGTACCTGTAATAAAAAATAATAATAAATAAATGTGCAGATATCTTCAGCTGCCTGTATTTTTCATACTGTTTTTCACGAAAGAAAACCTCCTCTTGTGCTTTCATTGTATCATGTCCATAGTTTATATCGCTCACCTTTGTACAATGCATTGAGCTCTGTCATTGCTTTTCGTTCAGTCTATTATATATGACTAACCTCCAATGATATGTTTCCTTTACAGAAAGAGATACAAGCCATGAGTCAGTGCAGTCACCCCAACGTTGTAACCTATTATACCTCATTTGTGGTGAAGGAGGAGCTGTGGCTGGTTATGAAGTTACTAAGTGGAGGTAATGTAAATGTCATGTATGTCAACATGTATGTCAACTGGCAAACATTCTGATGAGCTAGTATTGCAGCAGGCTTTCTCACC